TCAGCCTGTAATCTCAGCACTTTGGGAGGCTGAGGTGAGTGGACTGCCTGAGCCCATGGGTTTCAGACCCACCTGGGCAACTTGGCAAGACCTCATCTCTACAATAAAAATTAAAAGTCAGCTGGTCATGGTAGCGCGCGCCTGTAGTTCCAGTTACTCGGAAGGCTGAGGCAGAAGAATCGCCGGAGCCCAGCAGGTCGAGGCTGTGGTGGCCGGGAGCGGCCACTGCACTCTAGTCTGGGCGACAGAGTGAGATTCCAACTCAAAAAAAAAAAAAAAAATCCTAGATTCCTTAAACCAAGTTAGGACCTAAGGAAGAGGAGACACAAGACAATAAAAGCCCATAATCAGCTTGATGGTCACCATTCAGGAGGAAGACCAGGAGCCCCAGCAGAGGCAACTCCTTCCTGGTGCCACATCCTTTATCACCTCCTCTCCCCACCCCCGCCAGGTCCTGAGCAGCAGGTGAAGATGAGCAGTGCCACTCCCACATGCCACCTCAGCCACCTCTCACCTCTGTGGTCGATGTCATCGGTGTCACTGTCTGCTTCCTCATCTTCTTCATCCAAGGTTCCTCGGGTCAGGATCAAGTCAGAAGGGTCGAGCACAGGAGATGCGCCGGCTGCAGTGAAAATGCCCATCAGCACGTAAGCCTCCTCCTAAAGCTAACTCTGAATCATAAGCAACTATGCTTTCAAGCTGGCAAGATCGTGTAAGTACTGAATGTACTGTTAGCACTACTCAGCATGTCTACAGTTAGTTCATTCAGTTCACAAAGTGCTTTCATGAGACCAACAGCCCAGGGAGCCCACTTTTTAAGCTGAGGGAAATAATTTTCAAGAAGCTTGTCTTACTAATCGCACTGATCTTTCTTATTAGCTCATAGCTTGGAGGAGGTTGTGGCTTTTCCTATGAAAGCTAAAGACATCTGAGCAGATCTGGGTGCTGGTGAGTCAGGGTGCAAGTGTGGCGTCTTGGGAAGCTTCTTGGTGGAAATACAAGTTCAGAGAGGGCCTGCAGCAAATGCTGGGTAAGATGATCTACAGCAGAGAAACCGGAGTCTTGTTCAAGGAGAGGAGGGGGACAAGGAGAGAGCCGAACGCAGGAACGGAAGTAAAACTCCTCATGCAGGGTGACTAGCCAGGGCTGAGCGCCAGCAGCGGGAAAAAAGTCCGCAGCAGGAGCAAGGACTACTGGAGGGCGTCCCCCAAGGGCTCCCGAAGCCACACCAAGATCCGAAAGCCACGGGCACCCGGCCACTTCTCCAGGAGCTGCGAGGCTCCTGAGGGCTCAGCTGGGGGGGGGGGGGG